GTACGCATAAATTCTTGCACCTTCAAATCTAGCGAGAGAAAGCTGGTAGGCCTACATATGAAAGAATGGGTCTATGTGGTCAGCGTGGACAGTATAAAAAAATCCTGCAGCACACAGTGCATAACGAGAAAAAAAAACTGTTTTTGCTTTAAAACAGCGACTTCGCAGTGTATTTTCGTGTGCTATTTATGGTTGTATTCTAGTTTTCCTGGTCTCATTTTATAGAATGGAGAACATATTACGGAAATTCAGATGATTTTGATTGGTTTCACAATGAAAAGTACCTGAAATTGAGCTCAAAGTAACAAATGCTTGGTTTTTGCCAAAGTTCGAAAGTAAACAAATCATGCCAAGCGTCCAATACACGTCAACTGGTGAGTCTAATATTCTTTCACAAGTGCGCAGATATTATTTATACCATTTCTACACAGAAGATTTACTGCTATGCAGTAGTCTGCATAGCAGTAAATCTTCTATTTTTTTTGTGAGAACAAAAATTCAAAGTGGAAAGCAAAAATGTAAGAGAGGCCTGGGGATGTGACTGATAAACAGAAAAATTTTATTTTAGTGCCAGGAATGTCTGTCTTGTTTATTCTGGACCCTGTTTGGAAATTGGCATATATTGAAATTTGTTTAAAATTGGAAAAATTGCCAATTTCTGACCACTTTATTGGATACTTGAAATCAGTAAATGGGTGGTTTCTTGTACTCATTCGATAGAAAAAATGGAGTTCTAGCAAAATAGTCATGATTTTTGTTGACTGGTACATTGGAATTGACTGAAAATAGGGCTCAAAGTGGGCAAAATCGCCGATTTGTCAACATCGTTGAGACCACTAACTTTGCGAGAGTATAATTCTGTAAGTTTCCCATCAGATTTCATACTTTTGGTGTTATTATGATCGAGAAAAGATTCTCTTAATATTTCATTTTTTTTTTTTTTAGAAAAATTTCTAACCCTGAGAACAAGTTTAGGAGTGGGTCTGCCGACCCAGAAATGGTTAATTTATAAATAAGTAAGCTTATTCAGGTACAGGAGGGCCCCACTTATACGGCGGGTTAGGTTCCAGGCTACCACCGTAAAGTGGAACACCCTTTTTTTCCACTTACAAATGCATACAAACACTAGATAACAAGTTTACACTAACATATATTATGTTAGCAATAGAACCAGGCATCAAAAAACAATAAAAAAGTACAATACACACATAGTGCACTCATTACTTACCTTAAAATATTTATAGTCTTAATCTAGGGTGAGACAAGTAGTATTTATTGTAAGAAATCAAGTGTGGTATGTATGGTAGTCAGCCAGGCTACCATACCAGGCCACCCCACCCACACATACTATTCTATGATATTTAAGCATCCCAGAATGATAAAATGTATATACAGTTCACTCATTACTTACCTTAAAATATAGGGTGAGTGAGTAGTATTTATTGTAAAAAATCAAGTGTGGTATGTATGGTAGTCAGCCAGGCTACCATACCAGAGAGAAAGAATGAGTGCATGAGAGAGGACAGGCGCAGAGTTATGTAAACAAACCAGGCAAAGGTAAGTTTTGTAAACAGTGTACACGTCTGGTTTGTGTACAAGTTACATTGTGACAGGTTGTCTCTACATTGATACGGTAGAATAAATAAAGAAGAACACTCCCATTCTCATGTAACATCATTTTGAGAAGAAATGATGCTCTGAGTGAAGGCAATGGAAGTAAGTCACTCTGACTTTTTTGGGTTATCCTAGGTTCTCTACACATATGTTGTTATGTATTTATGTTATGTATCGTGTTTATTATATAATTTTGAAAAAATATCACGGATGGATTAATGAAAATGTGTATATTAACGTAATATACAACATTTAATGATACACCGAGCTCAGACAGCGTAAACAAACTGAACAGGTTGTGGACGATCACTCAGTCAGGCGAAATAGACGGTATTAATACGTGTCCAGTTTTAGTTCATTCATGTACATTTGTAAGAGTTTGTGAAACTTTTACCTTATAATATTTTTATTATTATTATAATAATTAAATCACGAAACAATACTCTTACACTGTGTACAAGTTAGTACAGAATTATAGCTATAAAGTGAAGGCATACGAAAGGAATATTTTTCTACAGTTATCCCTAGTAACAGGTGACGGGCTAGAGAAAACGTAATTCTTCCGACACTTCTGCAAACCGCTTGGTAAACATCTCGTATATATTTGTATAAATTTTTATACTGTGGGTGCATGTATCATTTTTGTGTGTTACATAATGTGTTTCTTATATAATTTTGAAAAAAAATATCATAGATTAAGGGAAATGTCTATACTAACGTAATATGCGACATTAATGCGCCCAAGAGATTATTATTATTATTATTAATAATTATTATTATTAATTATTATTATTATTAAATTTTTAATTATTATTGCATCAAGAGTAGAGAGACTCTAAGTGATTTTAATGGTTACCTACATGCCAGCCAGTTTGTAAGTTTATTTATGTACAGATGTACACAAGTTTAATTATGAAGTACAATACATATAACAATATACAATAACTTTAAAAACACTTGAAATTTTGGAAAGTTTTCCCGACATAATAAGAGAGATGTTCTCAGGAGAATGTAAAACACTCGGTGGGCCGCTGTGACCGTATTAGAAAGACAGTGGGGGGAAACCGTTAGCGAGTTTATCATAATTTGAAATGTCCGTATTAAGCGGAACGCCGTTTTAAAGCAAACGCCGGGAAAGCGGGGCCCTGCTGTATACAAAATACAGTTACATCATAGACATCATAATGTAAGCAGCATAAGTGTTAAGTACCCAGGAAACCCAAAAAAATCAGAGTGACTTACATATTTCCATTGGGGTCCTTTTACATTTACACTTATATTTAGTTTTATACATACACTTTTATATTTACACTTAGCTTGGAGGATATGTTAGTTTAATTAGTTAGTTTGATGGAGGAGATGCTGGGAGAGGTGCAGGGCGGCGTATGTTCAGCGGCTCGATACACATACAACAATTGGAGAGTTACTTTTGTGTTATTTTTCTATTGTGTACTTGCTTAACTTACTTGTTACACTGTTAATTATACAGTTTAAGAACATAAGAAAGAAGGAACACTGCAACAGGCCTACTGACCCATGCAGAGCAGGTCCATGTCCCCTCCCCCCACCCCTGGATTAGCCCAATGATCCCCCCCTGGATTAGCCCAGTGACCCACCCAGTCTGGTCACCTCCACTCAAGGATGAAGCATGGCACCAGACCCAGCAGCACAAGCTAGTCAGGTCCAACTCACACCCACCCTACACCTGCTCATGTATTTATCTAACCTATTTTTAAAACTACACAACGTTTTAGCCTGAATAACTGTACTCGGGAGTTTGTTCCACTCATCCACAACTCTATTACCAAACCAGTGCTTTCCTATATCCTTCCTGAATCTGAATTTTTCCAACTTGAAACCATTGCTGTGAGTCCTGTCTTGAAAGTTTAGACACGTGCAACATCTGGATATCTACAATAAAGATATCCAGATGTTGCACATGTGTCTAAACTTTCATATTGTCGGTATTTTATACCTTTCTTGCACAAGTCCTGTCTTGGCTGGAAATTTTCAGCACGCTATTTACATCCCCTATATTTATTCCTGTTTTCCATTTATACACCTCTATCGTATCCCCCCTAATTCTACGCCTTTCGAGAGAGTGCAGATTCAGGGCCCTCAGTCTATGCTCACAGGGAAGGTTTCTGATACATGGGATCATCTTCGTCATCCACCTCTGTACATTTTCCAGAGCATTTATATCCATTCTATAATACGGTGACCAGAACTGAGCAGCATAGTTTAAATGAAGCCTGACCAAGAATATATAAAGTTGAAGAACAACCTGAGGACTTCTATTATTTATACTTCTAGATATGAAGCCAAGAATTCTGTTAGCTTTATTGCGAACACTAATGCATTGTTGTCTTGGTTTTAGATTACTGATAACCAGAACTCCTAAATCATTTCCGCAATCAGTAGTACTAAGATCTACATTATTTAGTTTATATGTGGCATGGTTATTTAACTGTCCAACATTTAGAACTTTGCATTTGTCAATATTAAACTGCGTGTGCCACTTCTCCGACCATTGCATAAGTCTATTCAAATCATCCTGGAGCGTTGGCTGGCACTATAGCCTTTATCAATACCTGCTGCTTTAGTATTGTACATATCGTAGAATCATTGAATCACGGCAGAAGCCATATTCACCCCTCTCTCTTCCTCCTCCACTTTGGTACTTTGCTTCATGTTTTTTCTTGAATTCAGTTGTGCTTTTTTCCTTCTCTACCACAGGTTTGGCACTAGAAACTTTCTTTGGGCCCATGGTGGCTCATTTAGCAGCTACAAGCACTAAAAATAATGGAATAATACAAAATATATCGCATGTTTATGAGGAATTGTCCTCCCTGGCTTGTAAACAATGGCACAATGGCTTTACATGGGCTCAGACCACACGGACATGTTCAGGACGAATGCCCTTAACCAAGTTCTTGAGCATTACCCGAGCCAGTATTTTGATGCAAAAATGTGCTGCTATCTGATTTTGGTGTTAGCCGATGCTGCCTGTAACCCAAGGATCCACTATATGTATTTTATTTTTTATTGTTTTTAATGCCTAGTTCTATTGCTAGCTTAATATATGTTAGTGTAAACTTGTTATCTAGTATTTCTATGCATTTGTAAGTGTGGAAAATGGGTGTACTGCTTTACAGCAATTTCCGCTTTACGGCGGTAGTCTGGAACCTAATCTGCCATATAAGTGCGGCCCTACTGTACAAGAGAAGTGGTTACTAGCCCATTGCTCCCGGCATTTTAGTCACCTTCTACGACACGCATTGCTTACTGAGGAAGAATTCCCTTCCACTTCCCCATTTCCTATTTTCAGTTAATTACTACTTCCCATTTTCTCATTAAAAATACACAGCTTTTAATTTCTCCCACAGAACCAATAAAGATGGAAGATTGTGTGGATAGTGGTGACTATGATAAGATATGCAATGATAGTGAGGACAGGAAAGATGTAGTGACTAACTTGCATTGCCTTGACGATCCCTCAACAGATATTTCCAGGGAAACGACCAATTACAGCCAGGTGAGAAGTTGCCAAAGATTTCTTTCTCCCTTTTCTAGACGTCTGTGTTTTAATGTCTCTCATTTTATACTTGGGGGAGGAGGGGGCATTGATGTAGGTGAAAGGCTCTTCACGTACATCAAGACCCAGTAGACCATCAAGACCCAGAAGACCACCAGGACCCTGAAGACCCTCCCAGGGAAGCCTGATCTAGAGATGTGTGGGTCATTCAGTATAAGAATTAGCAAAGGCTTCTTTTTTTTTCTATGCCTATTTCAGTCATTCATTTATCAAAGTCAAAGACATACACACAATACAATGTTTGTACAGAGATGGGTGATATATAGTTGTGCATGCAGGAAGTCCATAGATATACAAAAGCATTCATAATAATATAAAATAATAATATAATTATTATATTTTTTATTATCACACCGGCCGACTCCCACCAAGGCAGGGTGGCCCGAAAAAGAAAAATTTTCACCATCATTCACTCCATCACTGTCTTGCCAGAAGGGTGCTTTACACTACAGTTTTTAAACTGCAACATTTAAAACCCCTCCTTCAGAGTGCAGGCACTGTACTTCCCATCTCCAGGACTCAAGTCCGGCCTGCCGGTTTCCCTGAATCCCTTCATAAATGTTACTTTGCTCACACTCCAACAGCACGTCAAGTATTAAAAACCATTTGTCTCCATTCACTCTTATTTTTTTTTTTAAACACGGCCTTCACAAGGCATGCCTGCTCGAACTCCAAGCCCTCTTTCATACAAAACCTCCATTAACCCCCTCCTCTGCACCAACCCTTCCAGGCCAAGTCCGGCCTGCCGGTTCCCCTTTCCCTTCATAAAGACTTTTATACACTCCAAAGCATTCAAGTTTAACCATTTGTCTACATTCACAACCATCAAAAACCCTTTCCCCAGCCTCTGGCAAGTCCAATCCCCCGCACCCAACCTCCTTACTTCCAACCCTTCCTGGGTACTATTCCTCCACTACAACTGCCCTCAGCATTTTCGTCCCTTTTCCTACTGCCTCCAAACCTTCTCCTCGCCCCGGCAACATTTTAATCCCGCACCTTCCAACTCCAAAATAGACGTTTGGATAAATTACCCCCTCCCCAGACATTCCCCTCCCCTTTCCTCCAAGACAAATTTCATGACCCACGCTCCCCTAAAGTTGGGAAAACTAACTCACATCATTCTTTTGCCTCCAAGACAATTCTATTTTCTCCCCCTCAATCCCCCTTTTTTCATAGACCCATCTTCTGACCACGTCCCTCCTCATAATATCTGAATACGTTCACCTCCTCCATACTCTCTCCCTCCAATCTGATATTCAATCTTTCATCACCTAATCTTTTTGTTATCCTCATAACCTTACTCTTTCCTGTATTCACCTTTAATTTTCTTCTTTTGCACACCCTACCAAATTCATCCACCAATCTCTACAACTTCTCTTCAGAATCTCCCAAGAGCACAGTGTCATCAGCAAAGAGCAGCTGTGACAACTCCCACTTTGTGTTGTGGATTCTTTATCTTTTAACTCCACGCCTCTTGCCAAGACCCTCCGCATTTACTTCTCTTACAACCCCATCTATAAATATATTAAACAACCACGGTGACATCACACATCCTTGTCTAAGGCCTCTTTTACTGGGAAAAAATTTCCCTCTTTCCTACATACTCTAACTTGAGCCTCACTATCCTCAAAAAACTCTTCACTGCTTTCAGTAACCTACCTCCTACACCATACACTTGCAACATCTGCCACATTGCCCCCCTATCCACCCTGTCATACGCCTTTTCCAAATCCATAAATGCCACAAAGACCTCTTTAGCCTTATCTAAATACTGTTCACTTATATGTTTCACTGTAAACACCTGTCCACACACCCCCTACCTTTCCTAAAGCCTCCTTGTTCATCTGCTATCCTATTCTCCGTCTTACTCTTAATTCTTTCAATTATAACTCTACCATACACTTTACCAGGTACACTCAACAGACTTATCCCCCTATAATTTTTGCACTCTCTTTTATCCCCTTTGCCTTTATACAAAGGAACTATGCATGCTCTCTGCCAATCCCTAGGTACCTTACCCTCTTCCATACATTTATTAAATAATTGCACCAACCACTCCATGAAAGATTGAATATCAGATTGGAGGGAGAGAGTATGGAGGAGGTGAATGTATTCAGATATTTGGGTGTGGACGTGTCAGCGGATGGGTCTATGAAGGAATGAGGTGAATCATAGAATTGATGAGGGGAAAAGAGTGAGTGGTGCACTTAGGAGTCTGTGGAGACAAAGAACTTTGTCCTTGGAGGCAGAGGGGAATGTATGAGAGTATAGTTTTACCAACACTCTTATATGGGTGTGAAGCATGGGTGATGAATGTTGCAGCGAGAAGAAGGCTGGAGGCAGTGGAGATGTCATGTCTGAGGGCAATGTGTGGTGTGAATATAATGCAGAGAATTCGTAGTTTGGAAGTTAGGAGGAGGTGCGGGATTACCAAAACTGTTGTCCAGAGGGCTGAGGAAGGGTTGTTGAGGTGTTTCGACATGTAGAGAGAATGGAGCAAAACAGAATGACTTCAAGAGTGTATCAGTCTGTAGTGGAAGGAAGGCGGGGTAGGGGTCGGCCTAGGAAAGGTTGGAGGGAGGGGGTAAAGGAGGTTTTGTGTGCGAGGGGCTTGGACTTCCAGCAGGCATGCGTGAGCGTGTTTGATAGGAATAATATAATATCTTCTACAAGTACAAGTATGAGGTATACAGGCCTAGCTGACATCAGTGACATACTACTACATAGAAAGCTGCTTGTTATGCAGAGCATTTCAGGCAAATTAGGTCAGTTTTGTCCCAGGATGTGACCCACATAAGTTGACTAACTCCCAGGTACCCATTTTACTGATGGGGAACATAGACAACTGGTGTAAAGAAACGCGCACAGTGTTTCTTCCCTTGCCAGGATCGAACCCGGACCCTCGCCGTGTGAAGCGAGAGCTTTAGCATGTGTAACACCTGTAGGACATTGATGAATACAAAATATACATTGATATGTATTATCTTGTAGAACACCTGTAGGACATTGATGAATACAAAATATACATTGATATATTATCTTGTATAACACCTACAGGACATTGATGTGAGTGATGACTCAGGCAGCTTCATTGGGTTCAAAGATGGTAAGTTATCTTACTTGTTTTGTAGAGATAAATTATTGCAAGTTATATTTGACTTTTAAATTCAGTAATACATTAAGTTGCAATACAGGGTAAAATTTATTAACTGAAGATGACTGAATCAGTTTGAAGTGTTAATGCACACTTAAAATTGTACTATTGTTCATCTAATTACTTCTCTTCTTGTACATTTAACCCTTAAAATGTCCAAACATAGATCTACGTTTTATTTTCATTCCTTCAGAATTGGCATGATTGGCCTGAGATGCCTGGTCAATATAGAGTGGAGCTTAACACTCGGTGTGTGCAGTATTAAAAAAATCTGGGACCACTTAATACCTTGTGGGAGCACCATTTCAATAGAGCATTCCATGAATCTGGTCCAGGTGCTGAATGAGTGGGCATGTTGTCCATTTCTTTTTCGAAATCCATGGGATTTGTACTAATGTCAGTTAGTTGGTCTGTGCGGCCTTCTTCTGGAGTGAAAAATATTATTGCTTTTTCTACCTTGCTGTCTAAATATTTAGTGGGTTGCTGAACACCGACTCATACTGTTCTTTTAGGATTTCACTCATTTCATTGTCAGTATACAAGTCTCCTCTCAGTAGTAGTTCAATTCTACAAGTAGTTCTTAGCTTGGATTTTTCATAGGAATAGAAATATTTTGGGTTTCTTGCAATATCCTGTATGGCCTTTTGTACCCTTTGTTGTTCTTCTGTTAGGTATGACATTCTAAGTTTTGCACTAGTTCAGTGATCTCTTGTCTAAGCCTATATTTCTTCTCCTGAAGCATATTTGTGTTTTTAAGCAATTCAGTAACCCATTTTCTTCTTCTGTACCATCTCCTATGCTCTCTCTCTATATCTGATCTCCTTCTGGGTTTCCTCAATGGTACGTTCTTCATACATACTTTGTATGCTTCTCTATTCAGCTTCTCTAGGCACTGGTGGGGATTTAGGGTGCTCATGTCTGCTTCCCAGGATATGTCTGATAGCTCTTGGTTTATTTTTTCCCAGTCAATTCTGTGGTTGTTAAAATTAAACTTACTGAACATCCTGTCTCTAGCATTAGTGATGCAGTTCTCTAACCCTGAGTTAATACTCATTTGAACTTCTATGATGTTGTGATCAGAGTATATTGTCTTTGTAACTGTTATGTCTCTGATTAGTCACTCGTTGTTTGTGAATATCAAATTCAGGGTATTTTCATTTCTAGTTGGATCAGTTATCTGTTGGTTTAATGAGTACTTTTGACAAAGCCTCATTAGTTCCCTGGTATGTGCCTGTTAAGCCAGGGTGCTTCCCAGAGATATTTCTGGTATAACGTGTTGCGCCATCTTCCATTTTACATGAGGGAGATTAAAATCTCCAAGGAGTAAAATATTTGGTGTGGTTTTTTTTTAGCCTATACACATGAATGTGTAAATTCAAGAATTATGTGGATTAAAGTAAAGGTTGGATGCGAGAAGTGGGTCATAATAAGCTTGTATGCACCTGGAGAAGAGAGGAATGCAGAGGAGAGAGAGAGATTTTGGGAGATGTTAAGTGAATGTATAGGAGCCTTTGAACCAAGTGAGAGAGTAATTGTGGTAGGGGACCTGAATGCTAAAGTAGGAGAAACTTTTAGAGAGGGTGTGGTAGGTAAGTTTGGGGTGCCAGGTGTAAATGATAATGGGAGCCTTTTGATTGAACTTTGTATAGAAAGGGGTTTAGTTATAGGTAATACATATTTTAAGAAAAAGAGGATAAATAAGTATACAAGATATGATGTAGGGCAAAATGACAGTAGTTTTGTTGGATTATGTATTGGTAGATAAAAGACTGCTGAGTAGACTTCAGGATGTACATGTTTATAGAGGGGCCACAGATATATCAGATCACTTTCTAGTTGTAGCTACACTGAGAGTAAAAGGTAGATGGGATACAAGGAGAATAGAAGCATCAGGGAAGAGAGAGGTGAAGGTTTATAAACTAAAAGAGGAGGCAGTTAGGGTAAGATATAAACAGCTATTGGAGGATAGATGGGCAAATGAGAGCATAGGCAATGGGGTCGAAGAGGTATGGGGTAGGATTAAAAAATGTAGTGTTAGAGTGTTCAGGCAGAAGTTTTGTGGTTACAGAAAAGTGGGTGCAGGAGGGAAGAGGAGCGATTGGTGGAATGATGATGTAAAGAGAGTAGTAAGGGAGAAAAAGTTAGCATATGAGAAGTTTTTACAAAGTAGAAGTGATGCAAGGAGGGAAGAGTATATGGAGAAAAAGAGAGAGATTAAGAGAGTGGTGAAGCAATGTAAAAAGAGAGCAAATGAGAGAGTGGGTGAGAGTTATCAAAAAATTTTTGTTGAAAAAAAGGGAAAAAGTTTTGGAGTGAGATTAACAAGTTAAGAAAGCCTAGAGAACAAATGGATTTGTCAGTTAAAAATAGGAGAGGAGAGTTATTAAATGGAGAGTTAGAGGTATTGGGAAGATGGAGGGAATATTTTGAGGAATTGTTAAATGTTGATGAAGATAGGGAAGCTGTGATTTCGTGTATAGGGCAAGGAGGAATAACATCTTGTAGGAGTGAGGAAGAGCCAGTTGTGAGTGTGGGGGAAGTTCATGAGGCAGTAGGTTTAAAATGAAAGGGGGTAAGGCAGCCGGGATTGATGGGATAAAGATAGAAATGTTAAAAGCAGGTGGGGATATAGTTTTGGAGTGGTTGGTGCAATTATTTAATAAATGTATGGAAGAGGGTAAGGTACCTAGGGATTGGCAGAGAGCATGCATAGTTCCTTTGTATAAAGGCAAAGGGGATAAAAGAGAGTGCAAAAATTATAGGGGGATAAGTCTGTTGAGTGTACCTGGTAAAGTGTATGGTAGAGTTATAATTGAAAGAATTAAGAGTAAGATGGAGAATAGGATAGCAGATGAACAAGGAGGCTTTAGGAAAGGTTAGGGGGTGTGTGGACCAGGTGTTTACAGTGAAAACATATAAGTGAACAGTATTTAGATAAGGCTAAAGAGGTCTTTGTGGCATTTATGGATTTGGAAAAGGCCCCATGACAGGGTGGATAGGGGGGCAATGTGGCAGATGTTGCAAGTGTATGGTGTAGGAGGTAGGTTACTGAAAGCAGTGAAGAGTTTTTACGAGGATAGTGAGGCTCAAGTTAGAGTATGTAGGAAAGAGGGAAATTTTTTCCCAGTAAAAGTAGGCCTTAGACAAGGATGTGTGATGTCACCGTGGTTGTTTAATATATTTATAGATGGGGTTGTAAGAGAAGTAAATGCGAGGGTCTTGGCAAGAGGCGTGGAGTTAAAAGATAAAGAATCACACACAAAGTGGGAGTTGTCACAGCTGCTCTTTGCTGATGACACTGTGCTCTTGGGAGAATTCTGAAGAGAAGTTGCAGAGATTGGTGGATGAATTTGGTAGGGTGTGCAAAAGAAGAAAATTAAAGGTGAATACAGGAAAGAGTAAGGGTTTTATGAGGATAACAAAAAGATTAGGTGATGAAAGATTGAATATCAGATTGGAGGGAGAGAGTATGGAGGAGGTGAACGTATTCAGATATTTGGGAGTGGACGTGTCAGCGGATGGGTCTATGAAAGATGAGGTGAATCATAGAATTGATGAGGGAAAAAGAGTGAGTGGTGCACTTAGGAGTCTGTGGAGACAAAGAACTTTGTCCTTGGAGGCAAAGAGGAGAATGTATGAGAGTATAGTTTTACCAACGCTCTTATATGGGTGTGAAGCGTGGGTGATGAATGTTGCAGCGAGGAGAAGGCTGGAGGCAGTGGAGATGTCATGTCTGAGGGCAATGTGTGGTGTGAATATAATGCAGAGAATTCGTAGTTTGGAAGTTAGGAGGAGGTGCGGGATTACCAAAACTTTTGTCCAGAGGGCTGAGGAAGGGTTGTTGAGGTGGTTCGGACATGTAGAGAGAATGGAGCGAAACAGAATGACTTCAAGAGTGTATCAGTCTGTAGTGGAAGGGGTCGGCCTAGGAAAGGTTGGAGGGAGGGGGTAAAGGAGGTTTTGTGTGCGAAGGGCTTGGACTTCCAGCAGGCATGCATGAGCGTGTTTGATAGGAGTGAATGGAGACAAATGGTTTTTAATACTTGACATGCTGTTGGAGTGTGAGCAAAGTAACATTTATGAAGGGATTCAGGGAAACCGGCAGGCCGGACTTGAGTCCTGGAGATGGGAAGTACAGTGCCTGCACTCTGAAGGAGGGGTGTTAATGTTGCAAATTAAAAACTGTAGTGTAAAGCACTCTTCTGGCAAGACCAAACAAAAGTTACTGTACCAGAGTCAGAAATAAAGGAAGCCAGGTTACTAGGATCCCATGGTAGAAAAAGTGTTATGCTTAGATTTCACTCACATGACAGGAAAAAAAGACATAATTATTGCATCCATTAAAGTAAAGAAAGAGGTATACATAAACGAGTGTCTCACCAAAAAACGTCGGAACCTCCTGTATAGAGTCGGAAAACTTAAGCGGGAGAATAATGAAACAACACACCAGTGCTTCACACGGGATGGGAAAATTCTAGTTAGGAAAACAAATGTAGGCCAACTGTACACAATCACGAACAAGAATGATCTATTACGATTTCTCAGGGATATTAATCTTACAGAGAATAACTAAACAATGTCCAACCTAAAAGCCTACGTGTAGTGTATGTTTTGCTCCATTAAATTATGTGTTGCTCCATTATTGTACAAATTTCACAGTACACTCTCTTAGTAATCAAAAAATCAACTACCTCAAAAATGTGATTTTACTAGTAAGAATAAGTCACCTTATATTATGTAATTTTCTTAATTGCTATTGCTTGTTTAGATAATTGCTTAAGAAATACTTTCTGTCCATTTTACAACCCCATATTTTTTTAAATACTATTAATTGCTATTACTTACTAAAAATATTTTTTAATACCATTTTTATTATCAGTCCAACTTACTCTTAACATTTTTGACATATTATTTTAATTACCATTACTTGTTTAATTGTCATTACCTGTTTT